TCGGACAATATCGACGACAACCTTCCCAAACAAGTAAAAATGTGCGAAATTCAGACTTTCGTGTTCTCGATTTGACGTCACATTACCCGCTAGCGCCATTCCTCTTTAAACTCGGTCGTGGGGCAAGTTTGCGGCCGATTTTCCCTATTTTGACTGGGCACAGAAAATTAAAGATTTGAGCAAATTAAAAACATTTGCACAGAAATACTCCAAAAAATAAGCTTATTTCGTTAAGCGAAAAAAAAAAATTTGGGTTTAGGTGCACTTTAACTGGCGAACCAATTTGAAAACAATACAACTACGGTCTTCATAATAATGTTTTTGGATGAGTGACATAGCAAACGGCCCCATCTATCCTTGAACGTTTCCCCCCTGAGTTTAAAATTACTCATCGATAATCAACTACAAGTAATGACAATCCTTAATTTTGGCCTCACGACGCGATTCTCGTTGTTGTCCCCGTCTGCATCTTATATCTTAAAGTATGCAATTACACACATAACTTTATTATGTAATTACTAGCTTGCGGAAGAAATTACAATGGAAGGGAAGGAAAAATAAAGTCCCCGAATTACCCCAATTATTACAGTCCAAGAGCCAACTGCCTCTACAAGATCACAGTTCCCAGTGGAATGAGGGTCAGAGTCAGATTTAACAATTTCAGCGTTGAACCAGCTGGAGGAAGTCCTAGTAAGTTTGTCTTACGTAGACTACACCGACGCCCTCTGTAATTCTTTCTTAATCTAAAGATGGTATAGAATGCAAGTTCACTTTAATTAACAATCTCACTGAAAGTAATTTATCAGTTCTGTTACTAACGCTCTAACAAGCTTGATACTAGTGGAAAGATTTTATCGTCCATTTATCATACAGTTTTCTACGATAGGAGATGTTGATAGGTCCAGGTGATGACAATTTGACCTAACCTAGGGAAGCGTAACGTAAAAGAAAAAAAAAAAAAAACTTAAATATGTTAGGACTTACCTTGTTAATGAAATCATGTAAATCGCAACTCCCACGTCCATTTGCTCGCTCCTTTGAGCTTGTTCATGATTCCTCCAATAGCCTATTCAATGTATTCCTTATTTCAGATAAAAATGTATTGAGACGTTAACATTTTGTATATTTTGTAAAACAGCAACGTGCTACGATTACGTTGAAGTCCACGATGGCCCAACCACCCAAAACAGTTCCCTTGGGAAGTATTGTGGAAAGCTGCAACCTTTCAGCGTGTTCTCTACCAGCAATGTTATGCTTGTTCGATTTGTCTCCGATCGTTCTGTGAATAACAGGGGCTTTCAACTTAACTTTCAAGCTAAATGTGAGTATAACAGTTAAAATATATCTAACACGTATTTCAGGCTGATCACGCTTATCCATAGATTGTCAACTAAACCATGAACATAAACCTGGTTGGTCAGTCAGTGAGACAGTGAGTTAATCAGTCCGTCAATCAGTCACTCAATCAGTCACTCAATCAGTGGGTCAGTGAGGCAGTGAGTCGCTCAGTCAGTCAGTCAGTCAGACAGTCTGAGTCAGTCAGTTAGTCAATGGGTCAATCAGTCAGTGAGTCAGTAAGGTTGTGAGCCAGTCAGTCAGTTAATCAATGAGTCAGTGAGTCGGTGAGCCAGTCATTCAGTGAGTCCGTCAGTGACTAAAAAAGTAATTAAATCAGTCAGTGAATCAGTCAGTCGGTGATTCAATAAGTGAGTCATTCGTTAAGTCAGTGGGTACGTCAGTGAGTCTGTGAGTCAGTTAGCGGGTTTGCGAGTGATTCAGTCGCTCTGCAGAGTCAACCAGTCAGTCAGTAAGTCTGTCTGTCTGTCTGTCTGCCCATTTTTCTTTCTGTCTGTTTCTGTCTAGTTTGGTTCTATCACTTAAGTTGATTATGCACATTTCCACCGTAGAGAGTTTCCTTGGCTGACTTTACGTGTGCTTCCGGGTTTTGTTTCCAAATTTTGCGCTTTCTTCACTTCCTGGACGAGGACGTTTTGAGAGATTTAAAACTGTGATACGTATGGAGCACTGAATTGTCTCACACTCAAACAAGTCTTTCCTCTCAATAGCATTGTCAAGGATTCAACAACAAACACTACCACCCACAGCCACAAATGCAAAGACAGTTCCCTCCACTCCTGTGATAACTACTGCCACACCTTGCTCATCCAAGGAATTTCAGTGCAACGACGGCAGTTGCATAAGAAAGGCATATCGATGTGATGGTACGTTTGACTGTTTGGACAATTCAGATGAAGAGAAGTGTCCATGTAAATCATTCCAAATGACCTGTGCTAATGGAGTGTGTGTCAATAAGCTATGGATTTGTGATGGGGCAGACGATTGCGGTGATGGCTCAGACGAAAAGAACTGCGACGCACCAACAGCTCCATCATGTAAGACATTAAGTTTTTTGTTGTCGTAACGTTTTTTTTTTCCTTTTTTACTGCTGTTTGTGTTGCCTTTTCTTGTTTGTCTGGTTTTTTATGTTTGGTGTGTTGACATCAGTTGCCACGGCTTAAGTATAATCGAAATAATGTAAGATAATACTTAAACCAGCCGAAAAAAAAAAAAAAAAAAAGAGCGAAAACTACAGAAAAGGAGTGAAAAAAACACGCAAAAGCGGATCAATAATAGCTATCAAGCGACAGAAGAATAGAAAAACAGACAATCAACCAAGAAAAAAAACAAAGTAAAACAACGAACAAAAAAAAGAATCAAACAAAACCCACAACAAAGACGTATTTACAAAACAATCAATTATGTCCTTTTTTTTTCCGTTAGTGTACATGGGAATAATTCCTCCCTGTTACTTTCAAATTTTGCTTCTAGTAAGTATGATAATTTTATTGATAAACCTTCAGATCGATGAAAAACTGAGTATGCGATTAAATTTTAGCATCCTTGAATTGTTCTGTAAATAACGGCGGTTGTGAACACAAGTGCACCGAGGTTTACGTTGGTCAAAGGAAAAGCATATCTTGCAGTTGTAGACGTGGATTTAATTTACTGTCGGACCAAAAACACTGTGGTGGTAAGATTATATCCTATTCCTAAAGGAAAAGTTAATATCAACACTCCATGTTGCTGTGTATCTGTTTAGCAATAGATCAAATATGAGGTCAAAATGTGGTTAGGAAATAGAAGACGCGCACGGGCGCAGCCTCGCTGATATCCTTACCAAATACTGACGTCTTCTGTGGTCTGTTACTGCACATACCCGCGCCAACGTGGAATCGGATCTATTTGTTTTTTACGGTGAAAACGCAAAATGTTGTTAATGGTGACACCATCTATGCCTCTGTTTCCCAATAGTTCATAAGTAAGACCCAATCAAAATACGAGAATTATTCAGGTTATCAGATAGTTAAATCAGTGTAACATCTGTGTACAGTAGTTAAGAGGAGCGTGGATATGTGTGTCGCAGTTTATTTACAAACAAACGTGATGCAACACCAATCAATAAGAATCAAAGAACGCCGTCTTTAATTAGCGAGTTCATCAAAGCTTTTCCCGAAAATGATTTGGCCCACCCTCCGACACCAACATGTAGAAACAACGACGCGATATAATATGGTTTGGCATTCTATCAGAGAATACTAGGAATTTGGTATATCGTTTTAAGCATGCATATTGCTTCGATGTAGATTTCTGTCAAATACAGGTTAATGATTAACTATGTTGTTCTATGTTGTTCTATGTTGTTCTTGCCTTCAAAAGACATCGACGAATGTCGGGGTAATAATGGAGGTTGCCGTCATCGGTGTATGAATTACCCAGGAGGCCATACGTGTGCTTGCACCCAAGGTTACTTTCTTGCTCGCGACAAGAAAAACTGTAAAGGTGAATTATAAAATCATTCACAAGGTGATAAGCCTCTTTAGTTTTGCTATCATGACTTTCCCATTTTAAGCATGTATCCATGTAATGAGGTATGGGCAACAAAATAACAAAAAACCCAGTTCTTTATAGAAAGGACAAATGCCCAGTGATCAACAAAACAAATTCGTAGCTTTACTAAAATAAAATGGTATGTCGACCCAGACAAACTCAGATCTTTTTTTTAATTTTTGTGTAGGTGAAACATGTGCTTCTTAGTGAAGATGAGTATGAATTTAAGAAAACGAAAATCTCTCCCCTTAATATTGTGAAAATGCATCCACAGGTTAATGGCAACATACCTGAGTACCTAAAAATCCAATAAAATTGCGACATTCCACTCTACAGAGGTGAAAGAAGACTTCGTTTAACCTTTGATCGGGCGGTAACTGGCAGTGGTTAAGAGGTAGAGCTTAATAATACCTCTAAAGCTTAAAAGAAAAAGCATCCTTGCTGATTCCGATTTACAATCTATTTTTTTTTCTTTTTTTGCAGACATAAATGAATGCTCTAATGGTAACGGGGGATGTAATCATGACTGTGTAAACACCGCTGGAAGCTTTCATTGTAGATGTTATCCCGGATTCGAATTTAAGACCAGTAATAAGAAGATCTGTCAAGGTAGGTTTCCCACTGAATAGTACAGGTCTTTTTTCTGAGCCCTTCTATTTTAGTCAAAAGTTGAACAAAAAGATCACGAACCTAAATGTCATAAGTGGAGTCAAAGGCAAACCCCATAGCATAAGGTCTTGAAGTGGTGAAATGTTCCATAAACTTCTTTCTTAAATGGAGAACCAAATCTCTATTTTTCTGAAATCATGTAAATTACTCTATCTGGTGTTGGCAACATCTAAAAATACAACTGAAGAATTTTCATTTGAGAGCGAGGCCAAGAGGGCTTGTTTGTATGCACATAAAATCATGATAATCATGCCTGCCATTATGAAAGTCCATAACGTCGGGTCACCTTTTGTACAAGAAAGAGATAAAGGGTAGAAGAGTTGCTTTCTCTGGGGTTGTGACTCGCTGCAAACACTTTCGCCTCAAGTCAATGCTTGGAGCAATGTCAGGCGACTGTATTCACAGGCTAGGTTGAAAACGGTGAAATTGAATTGTACCTATGTTGGCCGATTCTTTCCCTATCCCTTGCAACTGTGTTTAGTAACACTGTGACGAAAAGCGGAATGTAAATCCTACGCGTTAACTACTCTTGAATCATTTTTTTTCCTTACTTACCAGATATTAATGAATGTGATGGCAATAATGGCGGCTGCAGTCACAACTGCGTTAACCAGGCCGGAAGCTTCTACTGCCAGTGCCCACCCGGATACAAGCTACTAAATGACTCCAAGACCTGTGCGGGTAAGAAATAATTTGAACCTGAATGTTTGGGGAATCAGATTTTGCTTTTTTATTTATCGCATTCCCCCTTTTGACAACGTATTTGCTCTTGTTTGATCTGGCCAAAATTTTCTTTTTCAAATTTTGTTTGAATACGACGAGCTTCTATGCAGCTCGATTATGTAACAGGTAAGGGGTAACTGTTTATCTGGCCTTATTTGGTTTCGAAGCGCAACTTAAACTTAAACATTGTACACGAGTAGTAAGCACTAGACTATACGGAAGAAGATTTATTCTACAGTCAGTCACAAGCAATTGCTAATTTTAGTTAGCGCTCTTCTGGTATCCCAAGTCCACCCAAGGTCTCTTTTACTTTCCTCCGACGGCTTTTGTTTGCTAAGAACGGTGGTAACTTAGATTCTCGCCAGGAGAGTGTTTTTTTTTATTTTTCTTTCTTTTTTTTTTTTTTCGCCATCTCACAAACATGCTTTCTATTCATTATTATTTTTTTTACTACAGATGTGAATGAATGTGAAATAAGTAAAGGTGGATGTGAGCATAATTGCCAGAACACTCTCGGAAGCTTTTATTGTACTTGCCGTGATGGTTATATCGAGGATTTTGTGCATTCCTCCAAGTGTATGGATATTGATGAGTGTGCAGAGGGAGTGCCAGCCTGTTTTGATTGTCATAATACACCTGGAAGGTAATTTTTCTGCAACTGATAAAAGCGACGAGCCGGTTATGACTTAAGTTCAGCTCAAACAGGGATTTAATAGAGAAAAACTTATTAATTTAAGAACAGTATTTCCCATTTCGCTCTTAAAGTTTTAAAAACATTTGTGACCATGTATGTTCTCTTCTTTGTTGTTTTTAGTTTCGAATGTACATGCGACGACCCTGGCTTCACCGCAAACGCCAACAAGACAGGGTGCGAAGACATCGATGAATGCGCCTCAAACAATGGCGGCTGTGGAGAGCACAAATGCGTCAATAATTATGGAAGCTTCTCGTGCCTATGTAAACCTGGATATCAATTTAACCCGACGTAAGTTAAATTCACCAACACTAAATAAACTTCAAGACATAGATACGATTCAGTTGTCAGGTTTGAAAACTGACTGCGTCAGCCCTTTGTTCTTACTCACGTTGCTCTCACCACGCCTCTCTAGTACCTCATTTGTTAAGGGGAGGGGGAATGGGGGGTGGGGGGTGATAAGGGTGGCAATACTCATAATCACTTTATTTTATGGAGGCTGTGACAGTGAATGCACTACTTGGCACTCTTGTAAATTGTGACTATTGTAGAACCAAAAGTTGTGAGGACATCGACGAGTGCGCGGGTAATCTTAATGGTGGCTGCCAGCAAATCTGCAAAAACAATCTGGGATCGTACCGATGCGCCTGCAGAGATGGTTACAAACTGAGGCAGCAGACCAGGTGTTTGGACATTGACGAATGCGCAGAAAGTGCTCACCAATGCCAGCAGAACTGCACAAATACAGATGGAAGGTATTTTCTGTTTTCTTTCTTCGCCCACATCACATCACGTCCCCAGACTGTGTTTTTATTAGTTAGTGTTTGGATCAAACAGGACTTCCGGAGGGAAATGCATTTTAAGGAGGGAAAACCGTAGCAATATAGATCGACACAACCTTTGAGACTGGTCCACGGATATCTGTAAGATAGAGATAATCACCTCCGTCTTAAGTTTTAGTGACTGAACTGTTTCTTTACCCCTCTACTTTCTCTATCTTTTTCCGTTTTCCTTTTCCTTCTTGTCTATCCTGCTTTCTATTTTCTTTATTATCTGCTTAAAACAATTTAACTGTTGTTAATTAATTATCCTTTTCAGTTATACTTGCTCCTGCAAGAAGGGATACTTTCTTTCCAATAATGGCCACTCCTGCAGTAAAAAGAGGAACCCACAAGGTAAGAGAGAAAAATTTTCTTTCACAAAGCCACTGCAAAAAGAGGTATAGCCTCATTTGTACAAAGACACACTGTAACCATCTGTTCACGTTGAAAATTATACGTACTTGTCTTCTTTTAGAGTGCGGCGTTGCACCCCTTGTTGTCAGTTCTTTCCAGGGGAGATGGCATTCAGAGGAACAACCGATTTGGCCATGGGCAGCCTTGCTTCACTTCAGCGTCTACGGTGACATCGAAGGCTGTATGGCCACTCTCATAGATAAAGAATGGCTTATCACATCAGCTCATTGGCTGTACCTGGGAGACAAAGTCATTCCTACAAAGTTTGTCAAGGTGGAACTTGGGGCGTTCCCCCGTGGTTCTTCAAGTCACAATCCTGTTTTGCACGATGTGTCACAAATCGTAATCCACAAAGACTTTAACGGAGACCGAAAGGTACTCACTGGAAACATCGCCCTTGTTCGCTTGACAAAACCGATCAATGTTACAGATGAGATAAGGCCCATCTGCATACCGACCAGGATGGAAGTGGAGAACCTTCTGAAACCTGGGGCCTCAAGCGATGGTGTAGTAATCGGCTGGGGTAAGACCCTTGAGCACCGAGTTCGCAGCACACTTCACCAGGCGGCAGTCATGGTTTCGCACAGATCACGATGCGAGCAATGGGCCAGCAACATTGCCTTCGATGAAAACACCATGATCTGTGCTGGCTATAAGGAGGCCGAGAGGACCGCTTGTGTCGGTGATAGTGGGTCCCCGCTCATGTTCTCTGTTACAACCCGTGATCAGAGTTCAACAAAGTGGGTTCTGGGTGGTGTGATGAGCTGGGGGCTTAATGTGCTTCCACAAGGCTGCCACAAGGATTACCGCTACACAGCCTACACAAGTGTGGAGCGCAACTTGAAGTGGATCAAGTTCAGGGGTAATCGTGGAAACACGAAATAAACAATCATATTTAATCCTAACGTCAAATAATCACGTAGCATACGTTTTGTTTCCGCTGAGTAACATTAGTAAGCCGCTTATGCTGAGATTAAAGAGAACATGTCTCAGAAATGAGGATATTGCAGCTGTGATCTAACTTGTGACTTCCCATGTGAACGAAGGCAAGCTAAAACACCTTTGAACAGTTTTTATCAACCTTTTGTACAGCTTACTAGGGGTCGCATCCCTTGCAGCCTATCGCACTCCTTTTGTTTCGTAAATTGTTTATGTAACATGCTCGATTACTTCTGATTACCGTTCAATGAAAAGAGTTTGTCAGTTGGGCAATTTATTTTTGGATTTGCTTTATTTTTCTGGGCTGAGCATTACAGAATAAAAGGTAATAGTAAAGAAAACAAACGAAGTGTCGTCAGTAGGAGTTTTTTTTTGGGGGAGGGAGGGGGGGATCGTCTCACAATGTCAATTAAAGCTTTAGTCAGTCCTGACAGTAAGTGTGATGGCCATGAACAGGGGATGGTTTATTGCGCTACAAGAAAACGAAACGAAAGAAAAAAGGCAACAACAAAAATGTAGGAGCAGGTAACAAAGTCAGCAAGTTTATGATAGGTCCTACAAACATAAGAGTAACAAAACCATTTATAACACACATAATAGAGCTTGATATCAAAGGCCTTAAAATTGGTCATTACAACTCCACATCGTTAAATGCGATGCTATTCTATAACTTTAACCAGGACGCCGAGTCAAGCTGAGTGAGGTGCCATTAGAGACTTAAAAGAGTTTAAAACTACAGCAGGCCCTCAAATATATCACCAGTTTCAAGAAAAATGATTCTTTGAACACAGACACTCATTAACAACAACCATCGTCATCTATGCCTTGGTCTCTTTGCAGCCAGTTTATTTTTTCTCCGAATAGCATCCTTCCGTTTTTTCTTGTAGTCTTGAGTGAGGTCCGATCTGACTGTTACCCAGTGTTCGCTGACTTCATCCGGGCTCACTGTTCTCATAAAAGGAGCTTCCCTATCTGAAAAGGAAATTAACGTTACATGCTTCAAGGGCGCAAAGGTTGAACCAAAACACTTTGCTAATACCGTGCTGCAATAAACGTGCTCTATCTTTCGAGATTTTCCACAGACGAGGCGTATGAGTGGTTAGCTCGCGGTTGTGCTCTTGGACACACCGACTTATAAGAACAGTGCTTCTCTCTCCCCAGGAGGTTAAGGGGCACCCTGCTATGGACGAGTATCTCGTCTAGATTGAAGTTAATCTTTGACCCCTAACAGAGAATAGCCTCTAATTAGAAGTGGTTACCTACTAAAGGAGCTCTTGATTGTTTACCGCCGCCCAGTTAGCCCAATGGATAGTGCGCTGGACTGTTGTGCGGGAGGTCGAGGGTTCGAGTCCCGGCCGCACCAAC